TGTATAGATAAGTAGCCAGTTATCAGCAGAAGTGTAAGGAAGTAGATTTAGATCAAGAACGCTGTATAGATAATGCAACGTGTAGCGCGGATTACGTGAGATTTAATGCGCAGTGTATTATATGGTTGGTAGTTTAGCAAGCTAAGTCATAGCATTTACTGCTGAGAAAAAAATCCTGAACGGTGCCAGAACTAACAATACAAATCAAACCTAACACCAATTGTTGAGTAAATAAGGATCTCTACTTGTTTATTTAGTCTCTCTAGCTTCACCGGAATGTCCCAATCTCAACCTGGTTTGTTCCGGTGTATTCAGCTTTTCCAGTATATCCCCCCACTACCACAAAATGGTAGGTCTCAGGAAGAGGAACCGCAAGGCAGTAAGATCGCTTGTTCTTCATCTGACATTTGACGTACCAAGAGTCACTGAAGGAGTCATATCTAAAGATGTCGGAGGTGCGGTTGAAACTATCGTCTGTCCCACCAACAGCAAGCAGATGACTATCAACTGAAACAAGAGTCGATTCTGCAACTGGCAAGTTTCTTATCTCTTTCCATACATTGTAACTTGGAGAAAGTTTTCCAATAGATCTCAAGAGGTCAGGTACGGAGCAAGCAAAGACAGACTTAGCGTAACTATAGGAACGTTTGGCCCCTGTCAGATAGAGCATGTCTTTACAGATGGTGACCGACAAGGTAGAACATCTTTGTGGGATGGAGCAAACGGTACTCCACTGCTCAGAATCGATGTTCATCACCTCCACAGTATCGACATTTTTCGAAAAACTTTCCAATACCACCTACCACAACTAGGTCACTCTCAGTTGTAATACAGGCCGCGTCACTACGGGGTGTAAACATGGGAGGGAAGATTGCAGACCAGATCTTCCTTTTGTCCTCACGTATGAGGCTGAGTAGGGTAGCAGTTGAACCATTGTTCCAACCACCAATACTAGTGAGATAACCACTGATTATGACCAGACCATAATTCTCAAAATAATTATCCGGTAGCTGTGACCAGCATCCTTTTTCTAGAATGTTCTGGTACGAGTATATCTCGTTTGAATCAGCTGGTGCGAAATAAGCAGTATCCCCATGCATGACTGCTGCTCCTCTAACCATTGCCAATGGTGCTTCCACTGTTGTTTGTGGTTTTGTGACTGGCTGTTGTGGTGGTTGGTCTCTACTGGCCCTGTCTCCCTGCTCTTGCAGTTGCTCAATCTTTTGCTCGCGGTCAGATAGTGTCTGCTGGAGGTCGGTGATGGTCTGGTCTTTCTGCTGTAGGCTCTCCTGAAAAGCTGCCACTAACTGCTCACTGCCTTGCAGCTTCTCTTGTGTGTCATTTAACTCTCTCTGGTTCATTTCTATTGTCTCATCTCTAGAAGATATCGTGTCCTGCTTGAGTTGAAGCTGCACATTTTGTGCCTGCAGTTGTTGCTCCTTCTCCTGAAACTGACAAAATGTTATCCACAAGAGAATACTGCTGCTCTAGAAGTTGCCTATCTCTGTCTTCAATTGCATTCCCCAGCTGTGCGATTTGTTCCTGATATTCCTCGGCTTCTTTCGTTTTCGCATCCGTCAAGATTCGCTGCCCTCGAAGCTGGAGTTGAAGTTGTTCTACCTCACTGTTGCTCTCTGCCTGTTGCCTGCTCTCTGTGTACTGAGAGGACCCTTTCAGAGCAGACAGCCTTTCACCGAGTTGTAGCGCTGAGGGTCGTAGACTTTCTTTCTTCTTTAGACATTGGAGGACTACTGGCTTTAGAGAGTGAGTGGCTGCGATCAAATTGAGGTGGGCCTGACGACGCTCTGTCTCGGGAACTACCTTCCGGACTTCACTTTCTTCATCGTCGTCTTCATCTTCACGTTGCTCACTACGAACGATACGAAAACGATCAGTGGGGTTGGGGAACTTCCTGGTCAAGATCTGGATGACTATTACACCAAAGGAAAAGATGTCAAGCTTAGCCGTGTAGGATTTGGCTTCATCCAGAGCTTCAGGTGACATGTACAACACATTACCTGGGCATAGGGTCAAGGCTGTCATGCGAGGATTGACACTGGCAAGCTTGGACATCCCGAAATCTGTGATCTTGGCTCGAGGGCCAGCTATCATAAGGACATTGTTTCCAGTCAGGTCTCTGTGGATGAGACCATTGGAGTGAAGGTAGACCAAAGCTAGTGCTACGTCGTGGGCGATGTTCACCTGAATGTGGTAGGACAGTGGTCCTGGGGATCGCTCCAGGAATGCTGTCAGACTTTCATCGCAAAGTTCCATGAGGAGAACAGGCAGTCGTGTGACGGGGTCAGTGTAAGTACCCAGGTATTGCACTACATTGGGGTGCCTTGCCAGGCTAAGTAGGTGGCATTCTTCCCGGAACTTACGCAGGTAGGGAGCCTGTCCCGGGGTCACGCAGGTCAAAGAGAGTGGGGTGCATGATCTTGGCAGCACACTGTAGCCCATCACACTTGGCCTTGCATACCCCTCCATATGATCCGCTACCGAGACTCTCCGATTTGTAGAGCTCAATGTTGTGGTAGCAAAACTCGGTCGGCCGCTCAACCATTACGCTGAAGGCTGTAAGAAAGTCAACTGCATACCTGGTGGCCTTATTAGGTGCGTATGTTGCATATTCACGATATAGCAACACAGCGCATGCGCGCGCGGTATAGGCAGGCATAGTCCATTCACTTTAAAATTGCATGTTGATTTTCTCTAATACCTACGTATCAACCTTCACTCTATTGCGCAGTGGTTGGTGCCAGGTTGTATATATATAGCTCTTTTATTACAAATCTAATGCGTGGTTTTGTGTAGGACATTAGAAAGCCCTCTTTTCTTCAGAAAAGTGCATACTCAACATGAACATAATTATACTTTAGGTTTGTAGTAGTATCAGTATGTTGATAAAAAATTATACTCACGGTTATTTAAAACGTTTGTTCAAAATCATGTTTCACTTCAAAATCTCAACATTCGCCAATGTGTCCTCCCACCACATTGAGTTGGTCTTCAGGGAGATTGACTAGAGAGTCAGTGTGGGAGTCATATAGATATCAGAGTTGGGTAGCTATATAGCTAAGAGTCATCTCTCCCACTAACAGCCTGCAGGTGTCCACCAAATGAGACAAGTGTACCTGTTTTTCACTAGCAAACGACTGATGTCCTTTCATGCATTTTGACCTGAAGAAACTGTTCTGGACTTGAGGTGGTGGGTCGCAACAGGTCAACAAGAGAGAAAGTGAAGACAGACTTTGATGCAGAGGAGTAACTGAAATTCATGGCACACAGAGTGCATCTCTGAGTAGCTGTGAATAACAGCAAACATTTGTGGGAGAGGAGAGACTGTTGTCATCCGTTTATATGAATATTTAAGCCTGAAGTATTCTGGAATTATTATAGCAGGTAACAGCTCCTGTCCAGGACCAGCCATCACTAGCTACACCTGACCCAAGGTTACTGATGCTAAGCTAAGGCCACTAAATATCTTTAATCTTGCATGGAAACATTTTCTAACTCTTGGAGACATGCAACATACAACATACTGTTGGCTGTGGCAGAATATCGTAACAGTTAGCTCTCTGGAGTATTATATAGTGTGCATTTACATTCAGTATAGCTAGTGTGTTGTCGTTTAATACACCAACAGAAGCAATATCCATTGACAACCCTATCTATCATTAAATGTCTTTCTGCAGGTTGTGGTGCTGCATCTACTCACACTCATGCACTCCTGATTCTGAATGATTCTGGTGAGAACTGATTCTCTTGCAAACTGCTGCAAGTGAGAGTCAGGTGGCTAGTGTCCCTAATTAATTACAACTAGTGTTTTATGCGGTGAATAATAGGGGTGCTATAAGGCAGAAGCAAGATGACAAGACAGAGATCACTGGTGGATGTGGGCCAGTGGCAAGTTTAATGATGAGAGCTACATACACAAAGGCTTACAAAGGCTTGCTGCTGCCAGCAGATGATGTCGAGGAACACAAACAGTTCCTACAGAGCAACCTGAGCATCTATTACCAAGCCAATGATCATGCAGAGCTAATTGGACAGTTGAGTTTCAACATGAACTATCTTTCGTACCACTTGTTAGAATATGTGGTGAAAGAGTTTGATATTAAAAGTCTAAAAATCCAAATGGAGACCTACAAATCAGATATACAGCAGTTTAGAATGAAGACGCCATTAATTCTGTTCTGCCAAACGCAAAAGAGGAAGAGAATGAAGCCTCCAGCTGAATTTAGAGAGATGGTGGCCAAATTTGACTGGCCAGAGAATGTGACACTGGAAGATGCGGAAACGTTCCGACAAGCGTACGCCTCTCACTACAACCTGAGAGAGTGTGCCTTGATGATTGCCCAAGTTCATCCAGGCTCCTTCATCATCACCTTTTTCATACCTGAATCAGTCGTCGAGATATTGAAGGCGAAAGTTCCTAGAGCACTTCTCAAGCAATACTCAGTCACACGACTGGAGATTGCTGGAACCTGTGTCTATCGTTTACGTAAACCTCAAGAGGTGAGTGGGACTTGATATAGCTGCTGTAGTGAGTGATGATAATGGTTCCGCTCTAACAGAAGATGCCTGTCACTCCGTCAACCAGCAGTGGTCCAGTCAGTGGAGCCACAGGACCAAATCTTGAAGGGTATGTGTCAGAGACTATAGATAGAGTGTTCAATTTTACACTGTATTACAGGGCTACACCATCTGTTGGTGAACCCAAGCCATCATCAGTAGATGAATATCTGTTTGTTGAGAAGCCATCAGACGACTTCTTCTGTCCAGTGACGATGGGTATTCTGCTCCAGCCTCACCTCACATCCTGCTGTGGTAATCATCTTTCACAGGTAGCCGCTAACAGGATACAGAGGGAGGGAGGGGCATGTCCACTTTGCAAGATGCTTATTTGGAGCACAATGTTGAGCAAGCATTTCCAGCGTCAGGTGAAATCACTGTGTGTGTTCTGCCGTCATGAGGACAGGGGGTGTGAGTGGCTGGGAGAGCTGGCTGCCTTTCATACTCACTTCCAATCTTGTCCCAAGTCATATGCTCTACAAACGACTGAGTTAGTTTAAAATAATCTCTGTTAGTTGTGGAGTTTAGCCATTGTAATTGCAGGTATGTAAGTGCAGCAACAGGTACAGAGAGTTCGCTTAATGCCACAAGCAGACATACACAACAGGTATATAACAAAAGGGAGGACATACACTTTGCAATTTTTTATTTCCCCCTCTCTCCTATTCCTGTTCATTTGTCTTAATAAAGTCTGCCAATAAGAGATGCTCGAATGACATCAACAGGGGAAAGTGTCAAAAGGAAGTGGCAGCATGTTAATCTTGCATGCGATATTGTAAGTAGTAAGACTGATTGGGTCTAAAGCCATACTTAAGTAGACCAGAAATGAAGTGACTCTCTTTGACTTGAAATGCAGTGACTCTCTTTACTTAAATAGGAGGAACAGCCCCAATCCTACAAGAAGCCAAATGAAGAGCTAGAAAAGTGGGCCCTACAGCAACTTGAACAAAAGGTGAAAATCCTTATCTCTAGAATAAAATGATGTTGTAGTGTTCGTAACTTCAGCTAGCAGATTTAGTACGCACACAAAGAGAAGTTGCATTGGCTCAGGAGAACCTGGACAAAGTTCAAGTAAGCTACATGAGCGCGAAAGACAAAATATACAAACTCCAAATTTTTACTGCAGGAAGGACAGCTACAAACTCCCAGCTATTTGACACAGGTAACATAAAACTCTCTACAATTAATTTACATAACCTGACTTATCTATTATACCCTACAGTCACACCAAATTGTGGCTATAGTCGGCAGGCCATATGGGGTGGCTTTTTTCAACCAATCAGAGAAGATGATTGTCAGTGGGTGGGACGAAAGCACAGTCTTCTGCTTTGAAGACATATTTAACCAAACCCCTTTAATTAAGGATTTATTAAAACCTGCAGATTTAGCGACTGATAGTGATGACAATATTTATGTGACGAGTCAGCACAAACTGCAGAAGTTCACTAGCAGTGGTGCACTAAAGGCCCAGGCTGGTGATGATGAGGAGCATACTGAGAAAGGGAAGTTTAATGATCCACGTGGAATAACAATACATGAAAACCAAGTGTATGTGTGCGATCGAAATAACCATCGCATTCAGGTATTTGACCTTGACCTGCACTTTGTAAAGTCCATCGGATGCTATGGGGAAAATAACGGACAATTAGATGCCCCATATGATGTAAAATTTGACAATGATGAAAACATGTATATAGTTGAGTTGGGTAACAGAAGAGTGCAAGTAATGAACACCAATGGGCAATTCATCAGAATGTTTGGTCAAACAAGGGTAGGCAATATCGGTCTCCCAACAGGCCTTCATGTTGACAAAGACAAAAAGATAGTGTATATTTCTGATTTTGCCGATGATCGCATTGTAGTTTACACAACATCAGGTGTGTTTGTTACCACCCTTGGGTCACACGGTCTAAGTGTTGGTCAGTTACATTCACCATTTTGTATGACATCTCGTAAAGGCAAACTGTATGTATGTGACTCTGGAAACAATAGAGTTCAAACTTTTGATCTTATTAGTTCTTCCCAATAGTTTTGTATCTTCATTGTATTGTTTCTGCTGTTATGCAATATCCAATAGCTGTTATTATTCACAAGTTGTAAAATGTAGACCACCTGCTGTCACAAGGCTGCCAGCTTAGACCACACATAAGCGGTTCTTCATTCACTGTGATTTTAAAAATCAGGCGACAGCAGCGTTTGCAGATTCATGGATTGGATGCAGTTAATTCTGTTATAGTCTGGTTCCAGGTGTTTCCTTTGATCTTTTGAAGTAGCTAGATCCACCCCAGACAAGCCTGGACCACAGTGCATGTATCTGATATGTGCACTCCATAGCACGGCTGCTGTCTGCACTAAAGTGCAAACCCTCGGCAAACTGCGCATGCGCGGTACCGCTATGTTGCTGTGGACCATTATGATGCTAGTACTAGCCAAAGATATTCAAATCCTACTTTCTCCATGCCGTCTCATGGTGTCCCTGTTGCTGTTGAACTGACACCAAACGTTCCACCACCTATATCTTTACAGAATAGAACATATCAGGAATCAGAGGTGTTTACAAAAGAGCTCAATAAGTTGAAAGCTTAAGTTAGCCAATTACAACTTGAATTGAATAACCTATATCAGCTGCCTGGGATACACTTAAATTCTGACACATGTCAGGTCTATCTTAGAATTGGTAACCGGTTACCACAATCACTTTGCAAATCAAGTCTTGCTAAGATTCTAAGGTGCATAGTTCTGAAATACAAGATTAAAAGAAGGAAGCTTCCTATTCTATGCCAAGTGACTATCCCCAAGTCCAATTGCACCAAGCACTAACTGCTGCTCAACGGGACAAGGGCATATACGCCCAATTGTGGAGACCAAAATGTAGCCAACCTCCCAACATGTACTACTGCATGATGAAGTATACCTGTGGGTCCTTAACATTCACTGTATGTTTAACAATAATGCACGCAACTCCACTTTTATTAAAACTCGACTACACAATACAGACATAATGTTTATGTCTAAAAAGGGTTGGAAATAGAGTTTGGAGCATGATGGCTGTGGGTCCTTAACAATGACTCTACATTTAACAATAATGCATGCCACTCCACTGTGATTAAAACTCGACTTAACAAGTATTGTTTACTAATAGAAGTGGTTGGAAAGAGAGTTTGGAGCGTTTGTGATGTACTATTGATGAAGTATGGCTGTGGATCCTTATTGTGTAGTCGAGTTTTAATAACAGTGGAGTGGCATGCGTTATTGTTAAACTAGAGTGGTTATAAGGACCCACACCCATACTTCATGAACTTCATCAGTAGTACATCATAAAATAATAATAATACTCCAAACACTATTTCCAACCATTTCTAAAATGAAAAGCACTGAAGTGCAAACTCTCGGCGCATTGTGACGCGCACGCGTAAGTAAACGCATGCGCGGTACCACTAATCGATGGGTGTTACTCGTGGTCTCTTGCCAGCTCGCGCAGTCTGACGCGGGCTAACTACACTACTAGATAGCATGCGAGAGGCGATACACGCCCTGCGCTGCATCTTCTGGTGCCTCCAAGGTACGCAGAGCACGCGGATCGATCAGACCCGGTGGTAAGCCGTCCGTCCGTTGTGTATTTGCCTATTGGCTTTTTCGCGCTCTAGCTTTGCAACGGAGCAGTTTCAGAGAAAACCCTTCGAATTTATGACCTTCATTGCCCGTTAAGTAGGTCATATCCTTTGTGAGACGAACAAACACTCGAGAAGATCAGACACACACACACACGTACCCTCGCTGCGCATGCGCGCCGAAGGTAACAATAATTATGTCAGTCGAGTTTTAATGTATGGGTATGATGGTTTCGTGGACCCATCATACCCATACATTTGAAGTTTTGTCGCATCGTGTTTAGTTGAGTGGCTATGACTGTGTTATATGCTGCAGTTGACCGTTATCGACATGTTTGGTTTGTTAAGGAGAGGTGATAGCGTGGTCGTGGACGGCTATGTTCTCGCATCCACTGAACACGGCTGCACTGTTCACACTGCACGGAGAAGACATACGCTCCTCCAAGAACTGATTTGTACATTACACCTATGTATAATACTTAACATCAGCATGATACATGTTTTATGGTGGATTTTTTGTGTGTAGCTACCCATGAATGACAAATTAATTGTTAAGCTATATATAACTGCTTATTGTAATGCTGGTCTAAGCAGTAAAGTATATGACCCAACAGTACATTTGTGTAAAATGAAGTATGACCTTGCAGTACATTTGTATAAAACTGAAGCAGAAAACTAGGACCTTACAGTACGACACGGTTGTTAAACTAAGCTATCCTCACTGGTGCAACGGTCTCAGGTCTGGCATGTGGCATGGGTCCACATCAGAGGGTGTGGTGTCACACTCAGACTGCCTGTCCTGGTCGAGCTCCTCCTACATGGCATCAGGCTCAGCAACTCTATTCACAGACACGCGTACCAACAGCAATGACAACAGCAACAACATACTATTAGAGCAAATAGACATTCGGTGTGACAGACCACTCGCCGTCTTGTGTGTGTTGAGCAGTCCAGTTGTCTGACGCCTCCTGTACAGCCTATTCATCATTAGCTAGTCCTTACAAAACTCTATAGAATTATCTTCCTGGATTACGGATTGAGTAATGTTTTGACCGAGTCTTGCATAACAATAATAATTATGTCATTTGAGTCTCAACAATCTGCTATACTACATGTATTATTGTAATCTAGTTGCTGTGGTGTCATTGTATGATAACTATATATTATATATAGTGTAGCTCTGTTTTTTCACTTTCATGTATATATAAATAATGTTTTTTAGGATAATATGGCACATATTTAGGGTGGGAGAGGCTTGTTCCATGTGAAGTGGGATATGCCAACCATTTAAAAGCAGAAAAGACAGTAGCATATTGTGTGATACATTAGCGTGGTTCTAAGTCTCTTGTTGGTGTGTTATATAGGTCACACATACGTAAGCTATAGAATGCCAGTAGCATTACATGTACTGCAGGTATAGAGACACCACAGACATGCAGTTTCAGTATAGCTTTGTGCCTCTGTTTCCATCATGCTAGTCTCAGAATCTTGGCTTGCCTTTTTCTCTCAAGACTGCTGCAGAGTATCTCCAGTAAAGTGTCATTTGCACCACATTATCTACTACAGCAAATCCATTGATTTTCCCTCCAAGATCACTACTATCAATTGTGAACTACACAAGTCAGGGTGGACAAACAAGGGTGGCTGACACTGATCAGCTCTGAAGTCGGAGTGACTTTTGATTTCGTGGTGACTGACATGAATGACATCATGCAGCTACGCATATTACTAGTAGTGTGAGGAGATCCCACAGTTTTGAATGAGGTCAAAACATTGGAACACCGCTATGTTTTGAGCTCACCCAGTCTGTAGCACAATCAGAGAGATGCGACAAGAGATAGTTATTGAAGCAACACACCTAGCCTAAAGAGTGAACGCGTATAGTAAATAGTCTCCATATCAAAATGTTCTACTAATAGCTACTTGTATAACTGCTGACATTTTGCACTCGGGTTCACTTGCCATGTTCTTGTATGGGGTGGCACTATAATTATAGCACCGTCAATAATCTTTAACCGTCTCTCTTTAAGATACTTCATAATCTCTGTTGTTAAACAACATAATATTATATTGAAAGTTGATTACTGAATGACAAAGGCAACCTCCACCATTAACACGTGCATTAGGAAAATGAAAGCCCCCACTTACTATTTCAACAGTCTTAAAGGGAATGTTGCCGTTTAAATGGGCTGTATTTAGAAATGTTAGGGGCACAGTGAAAGAATGCAATTGAGATCTGTTTTAGTAACATTTCTAAATTTAGTACATATAATACTGTCACATTCCCGTAATATCAGATGCACACGTGATTGGACTTCCTGAAGACATGAGTAAGTCCCCCTGAGAGCACACATGAGACTCCCTGGAGAAAATGAGTGCCTGAAGTTCCCATGAGAGCCACACATGATTAATTTTGAGAGTCCCTGGAGAAAATTAGTGTATTTAAGTTCCCCTGAGAGCCACACATGATTACGCACTAATAATACACAGAATGTTAACATAATCTTAGGCAGTGTATAATTATACAGCGTTTGTGTTTTCACACATAATTGAAAGTCCCACCATAAACACACCAAACCAGGAAAATGAAAGTTCTTGCAGCAGTCTTGTGACACCAGAAGAATGTTCTTTAATAACAAACTGTACTACTGTGAGTGTATTGAACTTGCCCGAGAGCCTTACATATTGTATGAAGTTAACTTCACTCTACAGACATTACTACGTAAGCTCAGTGTCTGCTCAGCATAAACCTCCACAGCATCAAACTGAGAACATCATCTCCCAGTTCAGACCCACACACCACATGCACACTTGCACATTGTGGAAGCTTATGCTATATACAATTATTGAATGTTTTCCGTGGTATATTACTCTGATAAGGCACTACCAAGTGGCTAGATATTCATGCCCTACACACACAAGGAGTTGTTGAAGTGATGTAGTTATCAACGGTGATAAGTGTATGCAGGCCCAGAGATTGGTTCAACCAATAAAAACCCTCCCACCTATGTCACTGTCCTCAATGTTGCTAAACTCTAGATAAACAATACTTTACGGACATGAGTAAGTTCCCCTGAGAGCCACACATGATTAATTTTGAGACTTCCTGGAATGTATTGAAATTCCCCTGAGAGCCACACATGATTATTTCTTTATATACTCACTAAAAATACACAGAATGTTAACATAATCTTAGGCAGTGTAACAGTTTTTGAAGAAAACATTAAAGGAAATTCTAAAGCAGTGCACTACATATAGTAAGAAATATTCCTAATAAAAGAAAGACAATGTATATTAAACTGTTCATTTTAACTTTGAAACCCAATCCCCAAACACGAGGAACAAAATCAAACATTTCCTCTCTTTGTATCAGCATTTTTCGTTGTTCAGCTCTGAATCTATCACTCCATTTACGGTTCAGTTGTATATCTTGAATTTTAATGATGCAGAGGCGATTGTAATGATTTATTTTCCGGCCGCACATGTAGGGTATCAAAAGTAGCAGGATTTGGTTAACGTGGTAAAGGAGTAGGTATATCATTGGGAGATTGTCGACTTCACCCCATATGGCTACAGTGTTCCTTGTATCCACCGAGCTGGCAATAAAAAATATAACCCATGGAAAGAGAAACCATGCCTGAAACACTCCATTTATCCTTTTAACTCTCTCTCCTGCTTCCACATATTGATCTGTCAGTGAAGCATGCAGTCTAATGGCATTCATGTCACCATCATGTTTTGGAACTTCTTCCCAGATCTTTTTAATGGTCAATGTGGAAATTACCATCGCAGCTCTAATGTTATAAGCCCATGCATAGCGAAAGATGTTGAAGAAGCAGTAGATATAAAAAGAAAACGAGGTGGTAACACCACACCCTTCCTTTTTCCCATTATGAAATTCGACTGCTGTTCCAACAACTGGGATAGTCAAGCCTAGACAAGCAGCGAAAACAAGAATTATAAAGATCAAGACACGGGGAGGCTTCGAAAAATCCTCAGTGTCCAACACATCTGGCACTGAAACTGAATTCCTATCTTTATACCACAGGAACAGTTGAATAAAGATGGGCATGTACTCCAAGATCCTTAGAAGAGAACATAACCCATACATAGCTGCCGTAAGTAGGTGTGCAGTGTCTGTTACCTTATCTTGTGTTTCACGAGCAGTGGCAGTAATGTTCATATGACATGACATAGAAGGCCTTGAGTATCTTAGAACCAATGTTATTGCTCTTGCGCAGTGCAATAATTCTATTCCAACCATGATCGTTATTATTAATGTTAAAATCGGTGACTGGGGACGATGAATACAGCGAACACTGCAGAGCAAAAATATAATATTAATGCCATGCTAACATTATTATTATACTACAGTAACACGCAATTGACCACTCAGATTCCGAGTTTAGAGGTAACTATTTTTGTTAGCTATCTCTTCCGTAGTATAACTATTTCGCGGCCGTGCGGAAGGCAAACGGAGCTTCTGGAGACGTTCTTTCTCACGATAAAAACCATGTACTCGTCTTCTAGTAGGAAGCGGTGCATGACTACAGGGCCCTAGCTACAGCTCGATTTAGTGAGCCTCGGGGCCCTGGTAGTAGCGCCCTCGTAGCGCTCGGGACGCCGACTGCCCAGGGCCCTCGGCTCACTAAATCGTGTATAGTTCCGGCGGCTCCGCATACGTAGGTAAGTTGTTTTGCTTCTGATACCAGTGATAGTAGAAAGAAGGTAAAGCTGTGCTGAAGGACTTGAGCCAGCAGCCAATCAAACACAAAACACGGAAGTAATACACAATGCATTTTGACTGTTAGCTAGTTAATATAAAAATGATATTCCCTTTATTAGAATATCTGGCATGACGACGCTCTGAGCGAGAAATGCTAACGGCGCTTGGCGTGGCATAAACGTACTCCGGATGTATAATAGTAGCGCGTAGATAGTACGCTTAGGGCCAGAGGAGGTTGCTCACAATCAACATTCCTAAGCTGTCCGCCAACTATAATGTAATCAAGTATCGTAGTGCGAAAGGAAGTTGCTCTGGCTGGTGTTAAGACCTTGCTATCTCTCGATTGTTTATATGTCTAAGTGTGTATCACGGATTACACTCTTGGCCGGAAGTACTGACTGAGCGGGTTGACTGGCGACTTTAAAGGCGCACGTGACGCAAGCGATGACGTATGCACAACCTCCTCGGGGCGAAAAGGCCTATTGATGAGACGCCATGGAAAGGCTACCTTACCTATCATCCAATGTGTATCTGTTTATTAGTTTATCTGCGCTGTCTTTTGCTCAAGGTAAGAAAAACGTACTATTGCTACACTACCTACGATGGTTCACCTTTTCATAACGTTTTACATTGTGTACTCCAGAAATATTGCAGGGCCCTAATAGCACGACTGTGTTCTTGAATCAGTCAGCAGTGTTTACATGTGAGACAGATAGAGGTTTGGCTGGTTGGAGACTCAATGGAACAATCCTAGAAGATCTTTCCCCTGAAATTCATGATGACCTGGAAGTTTCGACATTGAATACTGCTCAGGGAAGTAGAGTGGAAAACCTAACCATTCGAGCCAGAGCCGAGTACAATGGAACTAGAGTTCAATGTTTGGTTATAGTTTTTGGTAGCCCATCAGTGAACAGTCGGAGTGCTAATTTGAAGATTCAAGGTGAAATGATTACTAGCTATGACTTTCTAAAAGGTTTTCTCATTGCTGTTACTCTACACTCAGGTCGACTGCAGGCAATACGGGGCCTGAGTGCTACAAAGAATACTACCTCATTGACTATATCCTGGACTGCACCATTTTCTCTGGATGTGACTGGTTCTGATCCTGACATCTGGTACTCAGTCCTCATTTATAATGTGACTGATGAGAACAACCCAACAGCCATCCTCTGTACTGACTGCATCAATATCACAGAGACACACTACACTTTCTCTCCTGACTACACCAGTCCATGTCATGTGTACAACCTATCTGTCATCCCTCTAAACGGAGCTGGCCAAGGAGAAGGCACTGATCTTACTAGTTCTTTATATGATTACCCAATATTCGGTTAGTATTGACCCTTAGTTTTGTCTGTCTATCAAATATATACTTCTGATTAGATCATAGATATTTAATACGTTCTGGGGCTAATGTTACAGTCTTCAAATTCCCCGGAGGTAATGTGTTTAGAATTTTGATTACAGCACCACTGTTTTTGGAAAGCGCAGGTATGGAAATGTATGGCTAATATCACTTCTTTCCTTATGTTGCATTTTCAGTGTTGTGTTTTCTGGATTACTCAAATATGTACTACAGTAGTACTCAAAAACACTGTCCATCAGCAGTATCAGTAGTATTCCCTGAGTTGGCTCCAGACAGTGGGATCTGGCTAATAGACTCTGAGGTAGCTCTGGGGAAAGACTGTGACTACACTGTACACCTCACTTCTCATAATGAAGCTGGTGGCACCAACTCCACAGCAACACTCTCTATCAGTTAATGTCTTGAACATTCTCACACCCGCTGTTATCCATGCTATTTCGCAGGTACGAGGGTGTTGATAGTGGAAGTGGAGGAGTTTGAGGGAGGGGTATTGGTGAGGTGTGTGTTCAGACACACTCTCTCTGAGAGGTGCTATGTGCAGCTAGTGAGTAGTGAAGTGGAGGGAGGGTTCCAGGTGGGATGGTGTGTAGAGGGGGAGGGAGAGGGTGTCCACAGGTTCTCTAGCCTCCTCCCTGCCACATACACTGTGTTGGTCTATGGTATGGTGGCAGAGGGAGGGGTGGACACTTGTTCTCCAGTTGCAGGAGAGCCTGACTACATTACTGTGACAACTGTTGGTCGTCCACATCCCTCCCCTGTTGCCACTCAACCTTCTCTGACAAGTACTTCATGACTATGTGCAAAATGTTGTGTAATGTACAGCAACCTTGTGTACACCTTAGGGTCACTTGTTATTGCAAATCCCTGGGGTGCTGAAGGTAAATAACCCTTCACTCATTGCTGTTACCTGTTATTTCTCTATTGCTTCAAGCAGGAATTGTAGTTGGTGTATGTATGGGCGCTGCAACTACATGTGTTTTGTTTGTGATGGGGCTCATCATTAGAATGGTGCTGACGAAGCACAGTGAAAGAAGGAAAGGTACTTCTGAGCTTTTAGTATTTTTTATTTTGATAACATATGATTTGAGAAAAATAGATGAGTTGACTTCGGCATCTTCCCACCATGTGACAATGGAGAGGAACATGGCATATGAGTTACACAAACCACTGCCTCAGAGAAAGAGCCACAATATACCCGGACAGTGCAGCTCTCAAACACCAAACCCAATATATGAAGATTTGAAGTAACAATTATGTGCTATTCATGATAACGTACATAGATGTACTCCTGAAATTGTTTCGTCGTTACTGTATTACCTTGCTGTGAACCTAAACAATGATCGAAGAAATTTAATAATTATTGTGAGCATAATGCTTTGTAGCTTGTGGAGTTAAGTGACCATACACTATCACTGGCACGCTAACACTAGTGACTATCACCTGGTAAAAACTCTACACTTTTGGCCTAGAACATTGTGACAAATCTTACACTGGTCCAAAATACGAATATCCTATACGGAAGCAGTGTAGGATTAGTGTAGCACAGGCATAACCTAAATATCCTGGTAGGATAAGTGACGGATTGGTGTTGTTCACGCTAGACCTAAATTTCCTCTACCAAGGATTGGTGTTGTTCACGCTAGACCTAAATTTCCTCTACCAAGGATTGGTGTTGTTCATGCTGGACCTAAATTTCCTCTGCCAATGATTGGTGTGGTTTATGCAGGACCTAAATTTCCTATACCAAGGATTGGTATGGTTCATGCAGGACCTAAATTTCCTCTACCAAGGATTAGTGTTGTTCACACAGGCCTTATATACCAAGGATTAGTGTGGTTCACAAGGACCTGTGTTGAGTTTATGCAAGAGCTCTATGTAAATTATAGCACAAACAAGACTTCCTTCAGGATTAGATTGTACACCACAAACACTACACAAAAGCGCAATCTCCCGGCATGCGCGATATTGCTAAAATTGATCTGAGCTATTTGTATGCGTTTACTCGTATATACTCTCCTGCTATATAGTAGCTCGAGGAGAGTCTGACACGGGCTAGCTACAGTAGTAGATAGCAGGGTTCTTGAGCGTGGAAGAGTGGTGCAGCACCGCGCTATACTAGTTACACTCCACCGCTCTATTGCAAACAGCCCGCCGCTGTATGTGGCGCACGTGAAACGGCCTTCCGTCGCCTAGCGGGTTCTCGCTAGCACACTTTGATAGCCGCTTGCTCACACAGCAGTCTCCAGACTCGACAACATAATCACACGTGACGTATCGTGATCACCCACGGTACATATACACGGACAATGGTGACAGATTATTACACAACCTTACATACCCCACTCCTTAAGAGGATTGTATGACCTCAGACAATGAATGACATAAGGATGAGTGTGAATAAACAAAACGAGTACAAGTAACATAGTTCAGTTCTTCTACGGCTTTGGAATCGAGTTGTCGGTCCACAGTATCTAGTAGATGAGGGTAAGGTAGACTCAACAATCCGAGTCGTCTTCTGTCTTGATATACGTAGTAGTATATAAAAATGAGTGGAGACAAGTAAATTAAAATTCCTGCGAATTGTAAAAAAAGAGGCATATAGGGATGGTATAAAAAGAAAAATGGAGACAAAATAGGGATGGGATACATGAAGCATGGTTAATGAACAGATTTGAGTAAGCTGACACCCCCAACCCCATCACACAATCCTTATATTGTTGCCTAGAAGTATTAAACATTCACCATTACAATACTCAGAACATATAATATATACAAAAAATATCATGCTACTGAGTAGCCAACACTGTTATATAAAGGGAATGTGGCAGTATAAAAGTAGAAATGTTACCAAAAACAACAGGGACATGTTGAAAGAATGCTTGGTTACCTTTAGCCCTTAATAATGCCACATTCCCTATTAAGAGTAGCACACCAGGCAGCAATATAGGGATTGTGTGATGGGGTTGGGGTGTCAGCGAGCTCAAATTTGTTCATTCATGTATCCCATCCCTATTTGTCTCCCTTTCCTTTTATACCATCCCTATATGCCTCTTTTTTGAAATTCGCATAATTTTGTATACTAAGTACTACCGTACTCATTGATTATGCTGATTCAAACAAACCAACCGGCTGCTCGATCTTTCCCTTGTTTTTCTTTCCAGCGTTTCATTATAAACTGCCTATTTTGCACACAATGTTGCCTATTTTTCCCACCACTCAGATGAAACTCAGGTGAACTTCATAATACAGAAAACAGAAAACGTTTATCGAAAATTGAATTGTAACATAAGAGAAGCTTCTATATAGTCATTTAGAGCGCATTCTGCCTTTCAGTGAAGGTGTTCAATAGTAAAAAGATGCGCTCAGATGCAGCTGATGATGGCTGTACTAAAATACCTTGCGAGCTGTGTAGTCTGCCACGCTTAAAAGAGGTCAGCGCATTCCACTTGTGCGCATGCGACATCCAGTCAGGCTCGCCCATTTTCTCGTCGCTGCCCGCCCGCCCGAGGGCGCCTATTTTTCCGAGTGCCGCAGATTAGGCGCAGGCCTAGCGGAATGTAAACTGACAAAAATGGTGAATATAGTTATGTATCCCTCTATTATACGCTTTCAAGGGTGTGGTGCTATGAGTCCGGCTCAGTTTGTGACAAAAAGGATAAAGAAGAGATATTTAGGGTGAGATTAATGTATGTAATGTGTGTGTTTAACGTCCACAGGGTATATACTTACTTAAAGGGTCTTGGGAGTGGTTAGCCAGCCTCGAAGTTTTCTTCGTAGTCTGAGTCGCGCCATTCCTAACTGTATTAGCTGCATCGAGTGAGATCCAGGTAGTGGGAGGGCTATAAAGTTAGATATCCTAAAAATGTAGGTCCAACAACGTAGCGGTACACAGGCTAGCATAAGAGCAAGAAAAAAGCAAACGTCTGTCAGGAGTCAAACCTAGTTGTGACTGAACTGGAAGTCCAATGCACTGCGTACTGAGCTACAACTCCCAGACAGTCAGTCAGTCAGGGATGTGGCAAGCCGTTTGTAACAAAATTCGACCGTACACACACGTCGACCTCATGTTCTTAGTAACGTCGACGTCTCTGTCGATGTCCTACTGACGTCAACGTCTGAGGTGCAGTCCCGTTGACGTCAACGTCTGGGGCACTAACGTAGACGCGTTTACGTCTTATCATTAACGGATTATACAACTGTATGGAAGTTAGTGCCCCATGGCTAGCCATATGCCCCCATCGCCCAGTTTATGCGCATGAAGACAACTTATTAGTATGAATTCCATCTTATGGTGTTCTGAGTCATCACAATGCTAAGCTTATGAATATTATTGTTATCACTTTGAGTCAGCAAAATGTACAGAGGGGGGTCTGCCAGTGAGGCACACCAGTATATATAAACAGGCCTAAAGTGATAATTGATTTTAACTCCGCTACAACCAGAAAATGATACTGTATTTTCCGGAGTATAGGTCGCACCCATACTGCACTGTAGGCCTGCGGATTTGTATGGTTACTCTATTTAGCGCGCACATCTGCCACACCGCTCACGAGGGATCGCGCGTGGGGATGGAAGATCACAATGTAGAATTAAGGAGAAATACGAGGGCATCATGTGTACAAGACCGCCTGGACACCAGTGATAGGTCAGATGTCAGATGTCCAGTTAGATGCGTGAAATCGACGGCAACGCCCCCCTTTTCTCGCATCCGCAGTATAAGTCGCATGTCGAAAATTTCAAGCAAATTTCTTGATAAAAAGTGGGACTTATACTCCGGAAAATACGGTACATTGGGGAGAGCATGAGGTGGAGCAGAAGTTTCAGGCCTTTTTTCATTCTCCAGGCTTTCAGTAAAAGTGCAGAAAGCAGATGGCGGTAGCACTCTTCCCTCTGTTCAATACACTTGAAATCACAGCCTGTTGCTCTTGTGATGAACGCTTATAGACTCGCACCCCATCGGTTGACCGGTGTCCTGTTCTTTCCATGAGTAATTGCTCCACTCTGAAAAAGCAGTCCAGATGTTCATAGCCCAATTTGTATTTTTCTTCGTGTTAGCAGGAACGGCTGCCTTTTGGAGATTCGAAATATCACTTTCTGTCACCGTTGGACCGGAACATTGGCCAGATGCCTCCACAGACTGAGTAACTGAGCCAGGAGTTCCCCTTCTATCCGCCCCGCTCGGACCCGGTGCTTCGCTCAAGATGTCTGCGAACAGCGCTGAGAACTCAAAATCGTCAGGCAGCGGTACCTGAGAAATAGTTGGTCGACTTTGGGGAGATCGTTCGCGCCTGGATCAAAGATAGCATGCAGGTCGAAGAGCCCCCTGCTCATCCACCATGCTCGCGGTCAGCTGTGCAAACCGGTTTTACCCGCGCATTCCTGCGGTACAAACCAGTGACAGTACGCCCACTTGATGGTTTAGTGCATACACTACTCTCGCTGCACACTCATAGTGTGTGTACCTCCACTAGTCCACTAAACCCTCTCAGTGGGCATAGTGTAACTACAGTATATATTATGTGGCGCACTACCTTATCAGATAATCTAACAGTACTGCAGCTGTCTGGGCTTCCCTCTTGACAACAAACAGCAAGTGAGTGACAGCTTGTTATGTCACTATGTAAGCCAACAAGTGCTTGTGACCACCTTGGCTATGTTGGCACAGTTGTGACTAATGCCCAGAGCTGCATGTGGCATTTTTTCAGGATGTGGACTCCATCGCTGCCACACTCCCTAGCTGCCTTGTATGACATTTATTGGCAGATGAAGATTTTCAAGAAGTGGATGAAACTTACAACAAAGGTAGCAGGTAGCTAAGTGTTACCTACTTTATGCTTTACTTGTCCTTTTTTGGCAGTCTTTGAACATTTACTCATAGTTTCCGCTTTACACAGCCGTGTTAAAATCAACAGAGCCGTGTTTTAAAGTGCTGTTTCAGCCAGACCGAATTGCTTTCGCCGTTAAAAAGTAGATAGCTACGTTGATGTATCTTTCTCTCCCTTAGAAAAAAAGAAACTAAAATTCACGTTAATCATTTTTGCCAGCTTTTCTGTGTTTATCTTTGAGCTCAGCTGACGTTCTTAACCCAGACCACACGGTGTATGTGGTAGTATGTACGTATGTACAATATATGTGTAATGAGACTGTTTGAGGTTCATAACTCTCTAAGCCACGTCTACAGTGTGTTAGCCAACCCTAGCACAAAAAGCCATTGTAAGTTTCATTGGTTTTGTAACTGGTTTTTCATGTATATTGACAGTGTGGTGACAGTTTCATTACAAAGTAGCTGACTTTGCAGGTCACTAATGCCACAACTAGTTCCAAGTGTCCCAAGGTGTCCCATGTAGTTGCCGCGGGTTAGCCTCTGTTTTCCGAAACCCTGAAAATCCAGGATGGTTGGCAGGTACTGTTATGTATTCTATGATGGGGGGTCAATAAACTCCACTCTCTTGGGTGAGTAGTTAAGTCTATTTCTCTGTGTACAGGCTCTGCGTTCCAGCACTACTTGCAGTTGTGTGAGGCTCACTTTGCTGTGCTCTATTGACACTCTCATCACCAGATATGGGTACGAGACACTAGCTAAAGAAAAATGAACCACTGCACAAACTGCTCAAAATGTACACAAGAGCAGGGCTAACTGTATAACTGGAGGAGTGGGCTTTCAATTCTCAACCCTCACCACACCCTTAGTGACCCAAGTATCTTTAGCACAAGTAAACCCTAAAACCTTAGTTCCCCTTCATTGTTGAATTCCGCTATTTGAACGTATATTATGCGGGAACCAACCATTTTTATGTTTGCATAGTAAATTTTTAGATACAGGTTCATATAGTGAGCTGAGGCTACTACAGTGAATGTTGGTTTTTGGCTGAGAGTGAACATAGGCTCCTTGTAGAAACTGCGCCAACATTTATAGAACGGTGATGAAATCTCACGACTGCTAGCTGCTGGTAGCCTAGTGGCGATCAGGTCTCTTTGTAACACTGAGAGAGATGTGACCGTGTATGCAGAAACCAGACATTTTGTCAGGAAATTGTATGGGCTATATGGTTGTTGGTTGGGAAAAACACACTCCCACTCGGAAGGGCGGGTACACTGGAAGGATCCCAAAAATACAATTTCGAGATACGCATGGAAGTAGCTGAATCTAGGCTGCTCGTGTTATATTGAGTGTTTTTATACCTTGGAAAACTAGAGCCTTTCCCCTACGGTTTTGTGTAAGAGTCATTGCAATCTGCTGTTCCGAATGCTCACAGCGACAAATTCCTGTGCGGTTAATGAGTGCTGGCTTATCACAGACAGGTGTTTCCAGCACATGTCCTAGGTCACCCTGAAGAACATGCTGCTTTGCCTCAATTAATAGCTACTTCAGAGGAGAGCCAGCAAAAAGCAGGACTGCTGGCCGGTAATGAATCTGCATGTATCCTTCACAGGCGTGCATGTAGGACAGAGTAATAGCACCGAGGGTTTTGCACGAATGTGCTCCTGCAAATATTATGTATTTTTTCTAATACTCTAGGTCGAGTCACCATTAACGCTTTGCTACTCTTCTTGCTATTGCAAACTTGCCTCTTGCAAGGTACGTCGATTGTATGTTTGTCTGCAAAGACAAAGAGTTTTGTTGAACCCATCGCCATGCATATTTTATACCTACTTATTTCTTTGATTAAAAATTTAGAGATGATATGAAAAGCAATGAGACAAGGCAGGGATGACTGGTGAATGTGTGCAGGGGCAAATTTAATGAGGGCTTCGTGCACACCAGGCCAGATGTATTTTTCCTAAGTACGTCCACACGCACGTGCCAATTGAATGGGTGGGGCTACACAAGGAAAAATATGTCTGGTGACTATGGCACACATTCGTTTCCTCTACCCCGATTTTGTGCAGTCCAATCAGAGAGCAGCAGTCATGTGACAAGTGCGCGGCGCTCTTCTGACGTAAACTCACGTGCATACGTTTATCACTAAGTACGGTTGTACTTAGTACAAGTAAATAAAAAATCCTGCGAATTTAAAAAAGAGGCATATAGGGATGGTATAAAAAGAAAGGGAGACAAGATAGGGATGGGATACATGAAGCATGGTTAATGAACAGATTTGAGTACGCTGACACCCCCAACCCCATCACACCATCCCTATATTCTTGTTGCCTGGTGTGCTACTTATAGGGGCT